TTTAAAACCAATATTATTTATACACAATACCTGATCATTTTTCCATATCAATATTACACATGGTTATACACGATTTACGAGCAGGGAGTAAAGCCATTTGTCTGAGCAGAATTTAGAATGGATATTTTGGTTGACAGTTAAGACTCCTGTGATTGCCTTTTTGCAATTAAGTAAAATGTAGCACATTCCTAATCCAACAGAGGTAGCCACAGCCACACATGGATACCTGTGTTTAGTAGTCTTTTTTTTTTTACAAGATGAAACCAGCCCATCCCTGCCTAAGTCCTCAAGACTGACGCATTTCACCCATAAACAGGTCTTTATCACATTTAAGAGTGAAACACTTCAGGCATTGGGGATGTGCTGGTTTCATCTTTAAAAAAAAATGTTGGGAGCAGACCGGGCACCTACAGGTTGGAAGGGGCTTGGATTGGTGTCAGTTGGTTCCTCCACATTTGTAAAACGTTTCAGATTGGTAAATCTTCTCTGTGGATTTAGTATAATGAATGAATTATAGACGGATATGTCAGAGTAAAGGTTTATCTATGACAATCTGTATAGCCTTGTCCAGAGGCGTAACTAGAACCTTCAGGGCCCCGGTGCAAGAAACCAAGAAGGGCCCCCCCAACCCCCCACCACCATGGCACTGCATGGCTAACAGGAAGGCTGCCGAGGTCCCCAGCAAGCGCGGGACCTCAGACAGCCGATTGTTTAAAATGTTAGTGCCAGTGTCCTGTCGAGACCCGACCCATAATTTGCACTTACGTACAGACGGGATTAACGAGGAAACCGGCATTTATTTACAAAGTATTCGTTTGTAATTGTTAATTGTGACCATTAATAATATGCCGTCCATGGCAGTAAATGACGGATGGAATATTATTAATGGTCACAATTAACAATTTAAACGAAATACTTTGTGAATAAATCCCTGTTTCCTCGATAATACTGTTCTGTGCTCAAGCGCTGATGCTGAGGTCGGCAAATTCCACTACGTCTGCGTATGAGTACCTGTGAAAATGCCCAGTATTGGCACTAACTGGTGCATACCTACTTAAAAATATAATGCATTGCTGGGACTTGTAGTCCTACATAGTTGGTGCTATTCTGCATTCCTGTATACTCATCATACAGCAATGCAGAATACCACCAGCTATGCAGGACTACAAGTCCCAGCAATACATTATAATAAAAGTCAGCTAAGCAGAATAACACCAGCATCCCCCCCACACTTCCCTCTTCTCACCTGTCAACATTGGAAAGACACTGGGGGCAAACCCCTTTGTGCGCGTTGTGCTCATTTGTATGCGCACTTTAAAGAGCGTACATGAAGACACACGTTTTGATTGGCAGCTCATAAA